TTATAGGTCAGAGTGTGCTGAGCCAGGGCTGCTGGTACCGCTGGGCATCATGGTTAGATATTAAAGCATGGCAATCTCTATACAACTGTACCTCAGAGCCATGTCAGCTGCTGCTCCACCCACACTACACGCAACATTAACGACAAGCTGAGAGGGCATAATAAAAGTTTACTCTTTCTTGTTTCTGCAACTTCCTCCTTCCCATCTTTTGTTTTTTGCTTTTATCATTGCTCGTTAATCTTCACTCGATCATCCATTCCCTCTTTGTGCGCGGCGTAAAGGCAGCCTTTTTTTCCCTTTTTTTTTTTTTTTTGAAGTCTGAAACAACATCCTGTTAGTTTTCGCCCGTATCTTCTTGTGCTAAGCAGGCTCGCGGGCGCTGATGGCGGAAAAACAACGCACGCCCCACTGCCGCAAACAAAAACAACAACAATGGGGCAATTACAGACTGATGCTTCGCAACCTCCACTTCATTCTCTGTTATCTTCATTATTCAGCTCTTCTTGAATCAGCTATTAAAGGTAATTAAGCGATTCATCAAGTCAGTTTCAATTACTGGGAGCTTGACAGCTGCAGATTACAATCAGTAGGGGTGAGGGGAGACGGAGAGAGTGAGGGAGGGAGGCATCAAAAAGTGAAGAGGGAGAAAATAGACAAGAAGTACCAACAGATCAGGCAGCACTGTGATGGGCAACAAGCTCCCCTGGGTGTCAAGTGCTACTGTATCCACATGATGGTCAGGCTTGTTCAGGCCACGGAGCAACAGGCTTCGCTGCTACCACCCACTCATTCAGCTTCTGCTCGGTCCCCAGCTGCAGGTCTTTGATACTGTATCAGCGACACCGTCATTACTCTGCCACAGACTGGAAGAACTGAAATGTTGCCGCTAATAATGAATAAAAGTGCTGTTGCCGTCATAATGGCAATCACAAGACAGATAGGAATACATTTGCTGCCTGACATACAGCGCCCACTCGTAATAGAGCTCACATGTACTGTAACATCGTAAAACGTTCTTACCACAGCCCCTAATTTATGACAACCAGTTACCAGCTCACTTTTAAAATCAGGTGTGTGTGTGTTGCAGCTCAGAGCTGACCAGGATGTGCGGCCATTAGGCTGGTCGAAGGACAGCTTCAATTTATGTTTGGATGATTAACCCTACTCTTTACTTGCACAATTTTGCACATTAGGTTAAAGAATAATTCATCTGGAAGAAACTACCATGCCTCTTAGTTGTCCATTAGAGTCAGGTTTACTGCCGTCTTGATGGCTATCATAAGTCATTCAGCGCAGGTTGTAATTACGCGACTAAATACAGAAGAATTGCCCATATCATATATCTCACGGGGCACTGAAAATCCAAAGGGACACCTTTATCCCTAACGTTCCTTTCATCACTATATTAGCAGACGCCACAAGGTTACCTCGCTAATAATTTCATTTTAGCAGGATTTAGCTGTACAACGCTTGACTGCAAAGGGAATAATAATTTCATTTTGAGATTCGGTTCAAAAATACTTCCCACCTCATTTTTATTTATCTTCACACCACATTTCACTTCAAGATGTGATTAGGTCCAAACTAGCATGAAGGTGAGAGCAGAGACGATTAATGTCTGGAGATTTCTCCATGAAAAACTATACATTTTTTATAGGGTTTATTTATACGCTGACTCTGTGATATATGTTCACATTCTGCCGCCACACAACTTTTTGGGATCACAAATGACTGTTCACTCTAACATGCACCATCTTCTTCCCTGATTTCTATGCAGATGTCCTGCACTTAAATAATCCACAGGGCACTGTCCACTGTAGAACTTAATCTAACCATTAAGCTGTATCCACAAACAACTTTAAATGAAATAGCGGCGATGCAGTACATCATCAGTAGATAATAAGCTGCCTGCCTTTGCTTTAAGGTAGAAAAAACACTCAGGTTTTACTGATCATAAACAACAATAAGTAAACGCAGCCAGAAGCATACTGAAAATATTAGCAGGAAATGGCGGCTCTAACACGAGATCCCCAGACAAGAAAATAACAAGCTGGACTTTACATTCGGGGTATAATCAGCCTAAGAAAAGGCACAGGGCACTATGATCTTCAGTGTCATCAGTGAGCCTCCTGATAGGTCCAAGGTAGCTAAACATACACCTAAAGTCCCATGTTGCAGAATACAATCAGTAAACACTTCTACTATCAGTAACCTACTGCAGGATTTCTTACCGTCCAACTACCAGGTGCATCCTTATCTCTGAGGATGTGATAACACACAGGGCGCTTTTAATTATGCTAACATGCCTCCTTCCTTCCCTTACTCGTGTCTCTTCGCTCCTACCAGCGAAGATGTCAGAAGTAGCATACCCCAGTCAGTGATTCCTCTTTCTAAGCTCCCCCAGAAGCCTCCTCTCTTCAGATCTTTCATGATTGTAGTCACAGGAGGAAAGAGGAAGCAAGGAAGCACAAGTTTCCATCGTGAAAAGCCCCCATAGCTTTGTTATCGTACTGCTGGACGCTGACTTTCACATTGCTCCCGACAGCAATGGTCGAAGCTGAATTTCCGAGCAAGGCATGCATCCATAAGACAATGAAAGGACTTTCATCTGAAGAGGTGGGATGATACCCTGACTGAGGGATTCCACTAATCATTTGTGAAGAGAATACCGATGCCAAAACCCGTCTTGTGTCCCCGGGAGGTGGTGCTCATTAGCATAGACAATGTTGATCGACGGTTCTAAACCGACACACTAAGTCTGTGTTCAGACCAACAATAGAGGGCTCCTGAAACAAAAAGGATTGTCTGGCTTAACTTTTGCCACAATGCAAAGCAATGCAACCAGTAAGGTGTTTCTGTCCGTTCTGTGTGGGTGTTGAAAGCAGGAAAAAAACAAAAACAACAATCCTTTGTTCATATACAACCTTGGCTCTGTAAATGGGAAACAAACACAGTGGCTCAGACTGATCCACACAACACTATTCTAGCATGTCCTGCACACGCTCATGACCGCGCAATCGACAGGGGTGAACTGAAGGGGAGGGAAGATGTGGAGAAAAGGGAGCAGTTGCAGTTAGACTGTTAATCTGGCACATGCTATCTAAATATGATAAATAGCTCAATATAAACAATCTTTCTCCAGAATTGCAGACTCAACCAAGTGTGTGCAAGTGTACTGTAAATCCTTGTAGATTATTTCACTAACAATCATTTTCACTAGACTAATCTGCAATTATTTTCTTGATTAACTCGGAAACATTTATTTCTCTTTTTTTATTATTACTAAAAAAAGACACACAACCTCGAAGAATATTGTGTTTTATGGACTGTTACAGTGAGAAGATGTTAATCCTTGATTACATACTATTGGGTGACACACGGACAGCTGCAGACACTATGGATGCACAGTCGTTCTTATACTACTTTCTAGTCTGCTTGCAGTCCACTGGGAGGATTACGCTCCATACATGTGTACCAGGTAGTATCTATGTATTCCATGCATGCACACTACTGCAAAGTGTGCACACAACTGCCCTTGTAGCATTCAGGATGTCTACATATTCGAAAGCATAACACTGGCCTTAGTGAGTTTGTGCCCCGTGCAAATGACAGAAAGACTAAGAAACTATTATTTTGCTGTGAATGCAATATTACTGCAGAGTAAAGAACTTCAGACAATGTGGTATTAGCCACCAATCCAACCATAAGGCTTTATGCTTTCAAGCAATGGTTAGTTTGACAAATTTGATTCAAAATGATTTCACACCATTAAATATTTAGTCCTGCAAAGCCACACCCATCTCCGCAGTGCTGTGTCAGCGCTGCTGAACGGTCTGGTTACATCACATTATCATTTAACTGCAGGAAGAAAAATGTTGTGATGTGGTTGTATTTATTTTAACCAATCACAACACTGGGTGATGCTAAGCCCAGGATGCAGTCATGGTATCCCTACAAAATACTGATGGGTGAACTTTGAAGGAATCTTTGCAAAGAGGGAGGCTCACACTGTCATTAAAATGGCTAATTCATCAGAAAGTAAAAAAGAAAACAAGCAGGGATGCCTTTCAGCACAATCCAAAACTTGACATTTTCAGCATGTAGGTTCCTGCTTGGAGGTTATTGTTGTTGTTTGCTGATGTGAAGGGGATTTTGAAAAATACTAACATGCAGACAGAGGAAGGGGATGAGAAAGCTGTGTGAAATGTGCAGTGGAAAGAGCAGACTTATACCTGCAGTCTACATCCAGTGAGTCAGACTAGCCAAAATACAGCGGTGCCCTTGTTAATTTTGCAAAACTCAAGATAATCTAATGAAATTGTTTGCTTTGTTCAACAAAACTCAAAATTCTATTTACAAAATAGATGTGGTAAAGAAAAGCCAATTCATTCTCTCCTATGTCAGCTATTCAATTAATAAATAATCCTTGCAGCTCTAAAAAGGACATTTATACAGCTTACCTCTTGGTTGTCACTACGTAGGATAACATGATTACTGCTCTAACAACTTCCCAGAGTTGTAAAATCTTATAGTGTCACAAACCACTGGGTAGTTTCTTGATGTCTTATGGACTGATGTATTTATTTGTACAGAGTCATCAGTTGAATTAAGACCGCACTTTAGTTAATTTAATACTTAACAGGCAATTCAGACAATAGACCAGTTTCTTTTTTGATCTGAACACTTGCCGCTGATACTCATCTTCCATTACAGCAATCCAAAAATATCAGGCTACTGATTTTTCCTGTCACATAGATATTTAAATTATACATTTTTGGATTAAAGTTTTGCTTAGAAACTACTATTACTCCTTATATCCTTAGTTTAAAGATCATTATACTGTGGTGATATGTTTTGTATTTTCTATTTATATGTGGCATCCCGTATGCTACCGCAGAGAGCAAATAATACACCAAGAACACATTCACAGCTTTAGTGTTCATGCTATCACCACTCAACAGACAACTTATCTTAGAGATATTAAGTTTTTGCATACATACCCAAATTGGAAGAAGCCCTTCCCTCTGCAGCCCTGTCCTTCAACCCCTCAGCTATAGACAGCTGCTGTTCGTGGTACTGCTTGGCTCTCTCCAAGTCCTGCATACAGCGAGCAGCATGACCCAGTCCTGCGTAGGCTCTCATCTCAATGGACTTTTCTTCCAGCTCCTGGGCAAGCTCCAGAACATGAGTATGGTAGGACATGGCCTTGTCAAAGTTGCGGTGGTAGTGGTAGGCACTACCCAGGTTACTATAGGCCCGGGCTTCCTCTCGTTTATTTTCCAGGGCCTTAGCAATGCCTAGGTGCTGCTCATGACATTGGACAGCATTTTCAAAGTCTCCCATGGCGATGTAGACAGCCCCCATGTTTCCCAGTTCACGAGCCTCGGACAACTGATCCTTGGACTGCTTGGCCAGCAGGACGCACTGCTTGTGGCTGGCCAGGGCATTTGGATAGTCCCCTATGGCTGTATATACATGGCCCAAGCTGCTCAGTGCCATTGATGCAGCCTACAGAAAGAGAGACAGAGAGAAAGATGGACAAGGAGTAAGAAAAACAGCAAGGTAACCAACTGTAGGCAAAAGAAAAGAAATCTCAAATAGCCCCATTAATTATACCTACATTCCATCAACAGTGAGTAATTTTGTTGCTTCTGCATCACAGATTTCCCACCCACACTAAAATGTCCCTTTACCCAGAAGTACTGCACAGAAATAATTAAATAAGAAAAAAAAAAAAGGAGGAAAAAAAAAAAAATTCTAAATTCCCAAGTCTCTTAGGAGGCTTAGTGCTCAGAGACCCAACAACAAACAAAACCTGATTTGATTTTGTCGTTGCTGAGCAAGGAGGGGGGTAAAGTGTGATGCAGATCAGCACAGCAGCAGGCTTGTTTTAAAGCCGTCAGTTTGCCCACTGCAATCACGCTTCATGGCGTGCCACCACCAACGGAACAAAGACACTGCTAATCAGGAGGGAGAGCAAAGGGGTTTTAGCTTCACACCAGAGCTGCAGGGGATCGACTGACTGACTGCTGGCAGGACCTCTCAAGCTAAAAAAAAACAAAAAAAAAAAACATAGGGAACAATATGCTGTGTATTGTCGCCTACTCAAGCTTTCATTTTCACAAACAGTGTCCACCTGTGAAAATAAAAGCGCAGAGAACACTATAGCTCTGGCTGCAAACTGAGAAGTAGGTTTCAGAAAATGCAGTCCTGACCTCCCATATGAAACATTCACTACAGGCTTATTAACTGTTTATACAGGGGATAAACAGTTGGGAATTGGGGGTCAGTTGTCTTTGTGTGAACAGATGTTCAATTAATCATGCAGGGGCAGCTAATAAAGCATCTCCTTCCTGAGGTCCCACTCTGCATCCTCCAGCCAAGAAAGAGGGTTGGATGCAGGCCAGCGGAGAGGACGGACACCCTGACAGGAAAGGCCACGGTGCTGACCTGGGTCATCCTGGGGCCAGAGAGGCAAAACTAGAAATTCAATAGTCAGCAACAGTAAAGGATGAACCGCTCGATGTAGTTTCAGCAGTAAGACATTCAGTAAAGTAGCTTCTATAGCCACATAATGCAAAACTTGCCACTGATACTTGCCATTATCTTGAGTTCAAACTTTTCATACTATTTGACAAATACATCAAGATGTAAATTGAAAAAATGCGTCCGCAAAGAGCAGGAGACATTTTTACTTTGCTCTAGCGCCACTTAATGAAAATATTGAGCCCTGTGAATAAATGAAAGGCAGAGCACATTGTTGAGAAGAAAAATCAATACCATTGGACACTCTTGAAAAGGCTTATAAAGACAACACTTTTCTTTGAATCTTTCATACATTCTTTTCCGAAATGCACATACACCCCACCAACCTATCTTTCCTTCATTTCACATAGCTGCTGATGCCTGGAACCAATTACCTGCTGACATAAGGACTTCCAGCAGTTTGCTCAAGTTTAAAGACTCGACAAGGCATTATACGAGCCCGGGGAGGCAATTACCCTCCGTCACAACTGTTGCTGTTTCATGTTCCCAGATAGCCTATCTAGAGCTGCTCAATTACATGTGCCTTTTGAAGCTTCGCTCCATCTCTCCGACTCAAACTTCCAGTTTTCTGAGCAGAAAACAGAGGATTCCTCATCTCTGTCTGTCTTCAACCGAGCGCAGTGGGAGACAGGGGGGGAGAGAAAGCGAGAGGGGGAGCGCAATCTTTCTCCAGTTGAGATGAGTTGCTCTTGTGATCAGTGTCCCTCTAAAGTGAGACTGCAACGCTGCATTTTCTCCTCAGATGGAAGCCAAGATAGGCAGATAATGAGGAGCCAGCCTTGCCAGTTACAGAGGATGCACTGTGTTTGGCTCAGGCAGAGACACTGAGACCATATGTATCTCTCTCACTTCTGACTGCAGTCCTCCCCACCACTGCTCATCCTGACTCCCCAACCACTATTGCAAAACAACTCTCTGTCTGGAACAGAAATAATGTCCCAAAATACGCAGTTTCTGCCAAATTGACTTCATTCTAATTTCATTCCATTTCTTTGCTGCACTTATCTCTGCTCCCTGCTCAGTCTTACTCTCTTTCCTCCAGTCCTCTCAATTGGTCTGCAGAGTCAGATCTGATTGTGTTTACAGAGTCCGGCCCTTCTCCGGATGTGTGCTGATTTGATTAATCCCAACGCCATCCATTATAAACTGTTGATAAACCGCTGGCTCTTATCAGCAAACACATTTTGTACCAAGGGTCTCCTAATGAAAGGTAAACTAGTTCTGCCTGAGAGAGAGAGGAAAAAAAAAAGAAGCTAGACAAGAGAGGATGGCTGAGATGACATGTTAATCAGAAATGCTTGGTTCCAACAACATTATTACATTTCTTTCCTCTGACAAGGACATTGGTTTAGGAATCCTTGCTGATTCTCCAATGTCAGCCTCCACGACTAAGTATGTTTATATTTTGTAGCACATTAGAGAAATGGCTGCTTTCAAAGCACAAGCTAGAGGTAATGCATTATACTTAGCATAATTAGCCCCTTATGTCATGCAACTGAGCTGTTCTTGATAGCTGGGCTTGGTGGTATGCGAGTTCTGTGACTCTGAGCCCCTGGTGTGTGTTTTATTTCTTACCCTGGAACAGAGAACTGCTGCCCACCACTTCACCGCTGTGTTGAGCTATGTGGTTATGCCTCGCCTTGCAGCTGTGCGACTATGCCTTTGAAAATCCTCCTTATTTCACTTTGGACCTATGAGGTCTGATATACTCCAAACAACCAAGGCTATCATCACAGACTGTCGGAGCTTATGGGACAAGCCTGGTTGTCATGGAGACCTAAACAGTTGGATTAGGGCTGGCCTTGTCGAAAAGACTACCACCACCATGCTTATAATCTCAGGTGGGCGTGGGACTTCCTCCTGACTGAACCAACACAGGAAAACAAAGGCCTTGGCAAGTGTACAAACAAGAATCCACTTTTTTGAGACAAAATCCCCCCAAAACTCCCGCCTGTTGCTTCTTGCTGCTATGTTTGGTTAAAGGACACTTTTCCAGTGATGCAGCTTTACAAATCTGAGGCATCAGAAAGCTCTGAAAGTCTTAACTTACAACTTAGCCATACCCAAATAAGATGGAGTTTTCACAACACACCTAAGTATACACAGAGTCACAGGAAAAGTGAGGTGAGACCTTTCACAAGAATGAACACAACTGATATTTTTGACAACACCAGAAGTGAGAGACTGAGGCAAATGAACGACCATGTGAGAAAGAGAGAGCGTTAAGAAAGCTTGAGAGGTGTAAGGTGTTAAAGAGCCCACAGTTCGCCCTTTGTCCAAACAGCATGTGCTGCAGGAGGGCAGGGCAGCCACTACTCCAGTAAAGTGCTGCTAATGGGATTATATGGAAGAGGAGAGGAGTCACTCTCTCTTGGCACGAAGGGATGGAGAGCAGGTTTGATTCCATTACCACAGAGGTGGCAACAACCTCGTCATTCACTGTACCAGTACAGATGTGAGCCTATTAGCCTGGTATGTTACATTATTGTGCAATATGAGTACCCTCTATCAGTATGGCGCCTCATGACAGACTCTAATACCAATGATATGTGCAATATTGTTATTTCCATATCCAGAGGAATTTGGACGACCTGGAAGAACCAGTACTTGTGTGTGTTTTTTTTGTTCATTTCTATTTTTCTACTGCTATTTCTCAAATGTTTGCACAATCTCTTTTGCTGCTGTAACACTGCAAATTTCCTCACTGTTGGATTTGGTTAAAGGCTCATCCTTTGTATTTCTGTACAATTTGGTTAAAAGATGAATATTCAAAAGGGTAAATTCACAGAACGAATGTGAAACCAGTAACAACAAACGTGCATTTTAGGAGCATAGCAAACAACCACACACCATAAAAAGCCTTTTTATTTGTCTTTAATTATTCGGTTAATTAGAACATGCCAGAAAATAGTGAAAAATACCCACGACATATTTCCAAAGCACAAGGTGACATCCTCAAATTGCTTGTTTTGACTGACCAACTGTCAAAAGCAGCAAACAAATTCATGTGCGGTTGTAAGAATCTTAATTTCTAAAAGCTAGAAGCAGCGCGTCAATGTCAATTTTTGCTTGATAAAAGCTCTGTATAGTGGGTATTGAGTGCAGACCGCCATTTAAACAAACAAGCCACTGTGATACCAATCACTTCAAAAAGACGATTCGTGAGTGAGACACTTTTTCAAACACCACACACACACACACACAGACACACACACACACACTGCCGCGTATTCCACTGCAAACACATGCACACGAGCAGCTGTCTAATTAAAAGGCAGTGCAGAGGGAAGGTGAGGAGGACCATGCACCAGTGTTTCCCTTAACGAGCTGGGCTCAGCAACAGGAGCTGGCTGGCAGCGAACAGAACCACACACTGGAGGGAGCGAGGTGCAGGGATGGGGGGGGAGAACAGAGTGGGAGGAGGGGGGGGACAGATAAAAGGCTACGGGAGAGATTGTGTTTGAAAGATGAGAGGAGAGAATGCTGGAGACATCCCCAGGGCGAGGATGTCTTTAGATCTGAATTCACCTGCAGAAATGCATTTCAACAAAAAAAGGAAACATCTCAACTGTAATAAACTCAGATGCAACAGACCAGGCAGTGATGCTCTCAAAGAAACCTGAACGGTGTTTTCTCTGGGCGCATGTTGTTGTCTGTGCATGCATGTGCAAAAAAAGAAAAAAACATGCGTGTAGGAATAAATGAGGAAGAAAAGGGGGGGGACTATACAGGAGGCATGCCGGTGATGTCAGTGTGAAGGCTGGGGGGGCGCGGGGATGGATATGATAAAATATTCAGCTGGTTTTATGGGTGTATACTCCATTCTCTTCCCTCGCTCGGTGTTTGCACACAGATATGGATCCTAAGGGAGCCACCATTAGATCAGCCAAATGACTGCTTCTCTGCCATATCAAAACCTTCTGCTTTTTTAAGCAGGCAAATGCTGTGCTCTGCCAAGCGAG